TCCCTGCGTGGGAAGGACAGACACGGGACGTGTCCCCAGGGCACTGCTCAACAGGCCGCAGAGCCCGCGTTGCCCACTGTCACCTGCGAACTGCACGACTCGAAGGACACCTTGTGCCTGAGCAGCGGCTGTGGGTCCTCATCGCCTCACAGGGCGCTGAGCGCCTCTGACTCCCCACCGGAAAGCAGCGTCCATTCCAGGAGCCTGGCCAGCAGCACGGGTCTGACTGGGGGGAGGGCCGGGGAGCAGGAGAGCTCACCACGGAGAGCCGGTCAGGCCTGGGCCCTGTGAGGCTGGAGGTGGAGGCCTGATCAGGTCTCAGCCAGGCAAGGGTCAGGGTGACAGCGAAAGGGCCACGCCTGCCGTCCCCACTCCGCCAACACTCAGACACACACACACACACACACACACACACACACACACACACACACACACAGGCTGGCAGCACAGCATCGCAGGGAACACAGGGAATGTGGCGTCGCCTTTAAGTAAGTTCATGTGGCTACAGCACCACCCACTGGCAGAGGCTGGACAGGCAGCTCAGAGGCGCGGGCAGGAATGGGGACAGCTTGCAGGGCTGCGGGCGGGCGGTGAGCCTGTGGCATGGATATGCCACACGGATGCCATCCACATCAGCATCTTTAGTGGGACCGCTGGTTTCTCGCACCCGCACACGTGGGCCCTGGGCGGACTGAGCTTGTGGAGCAGGCACTGCGTGGCACGGGCATCGAGGGAGGAGGGCAGAGCGCCTGCCCGGCTGGGCGCTGGCTGGAGGCAACGCCACACGGCGGGGTGCTCTGAAGAGGGTGGTGTGGGACGGGGCAGCTGCGGATGAGGGGACGGTGAAGGTACGGGGTGGGCACCCCAGGCCGAGGGGAGAGCAGGGCCCCAGGCCGTGGGCCGCTCTGGAGGCGGCGGGAGACTGAGCAGGCCGCTCGCCTTCTAGTCCACTCGTCCCAGAGTTGCGTGAAGCTTTAGCAAAGGGCATTAGTGCTCCTCCCGTGACCAGAACACGAGTGGGATGCCTTGAGGCAGAGGCCCCTCTCGATGCCGTTCCGAAGGGTGCTCTTAGCACAGACCCGTCCAGGGCGCGCAGGCCGGTGCCGGGCGTCCCTGCGGCTCCCGGTGGGAAGGCCACGCAGAGACATCGGGCCTGTCCTCTCCCAGCGTAAAGCACGGAGGAGAGGACTGCGCTCCGCCTCTCAGGCCATCATCCCACGGCCCGTGACAAGGCGCTGGCTACTGTGAGGGGCGGAGGCCTGACTGAGCGGCTGTTTCCCGCGGGTGGAGCCCACAGAGTGACCGCATGCCCTCGGGTGAGAGGACAGCGGGGCAGCAGAGGCTCCAGGTTTGGAGCCTGAGTCCCGGCCCGGCCGCTTCCCGAGGAGACGGTGGAGAAGCAGCCTGGTGGGCCCCTCAAGGTCAAGGGGACGATGAAGCATCGGTGGAGCCAGGCCTGGAGACAGAACCTCACAACTGTTAAGGCCACAGACTGGATGAGACCACCAGGGGGTGTGGATGGGGGTGTCCCCTGTCCCCCCAGAGGCCAGCATCAGCCCCTGGAGCTGCCCTGGGCTCACCACCCCCCTGAGCCTGGAGACAGGTTACTCTCCGGGGACACCAGCCCGGAGGCACCGCCAAGCCGACCTGTCAAAGCTGCCCCTCTCACCCCCCAGGCTCACTCCAGGGAAGGGAGAGGAGGGGGCAGGGCTCAAGGCACGGGTTCGAGGCCTGGATTTCCTGCCCAGACCAACCACCTGCCTCCCTGTGTGGCTTCAACCTCCCTGGGCCTCCGTTTCCTGCCTGGGCAGTGGGGTTGGTAAGAACAGCCTGTGTCTCGGGTGCCGCCAGGACTACATCAACAGCACTGACAGCAGCGTCACACTCGCCTCCCAGCCTCCTCCTCCTCACTCCTCAGTCCTGGGGCTCCTCCCCACAGTGCCCAGCCTGTCTTGTCAGCCTGCCTTGGACCCTCAGTGTCTCCCGCAGAGGGTCCGCCAGGCACCTGGCCCTCATCCCAGCCCCAGCCGCTCAGGCTCAGGTTCAGGCTCAGGCTGCCTCCCCATGGCCACCAGAGGGCGCGCTCTGAACGGGATGGATTGGCCCCAGAACTCCCTGGGCACCAGGATGAATGCAAACTCCTAGCCAGGCAGGGAGCCCCTCCTTCCCAGGCCATGTCCACCCACACACTCACCAGCTTGGTTCATGCTACAGGCACACACGTGCACGCTACACACACACACACACACACACACACACACACACATACACGCACACGCACACCAGCGCTGGATCTGCCTCTGCCCAGCACAGCAGGAGGCCCCCCCGGGGCTGGGGAGGGGAGCCTCAGGCACACAGAGCCACACGCCTCCTGCTGGCCCCAAGGTGGCGGCTGTGGTGCAAGACAGACCCGCCCCCCCGCCCCCCTGCACCCCAGGGTGGCTTCTCCCATGCCGGCCAGACTTCAGAGAAAATGCCAGGCCCCGCGGGTCTGGGGGCATGGGGCCTGCCCTCCTCCCTGCGGTGAGGGACACCATCGTGGGTGCCTGGGGCTTCACAGGCACCTGGGGTCAGCCAGGGCCCAGAGGGTCTGATGTCCACTATAAACTGCCACCCATGCAGGCGGGCTCTGTGAGGTCTGGACTCCAGGAAGATTCTAGAAACCACGACTCTTCCAGAAAGGAGGGCAGGTGCTTAAAGGTGCCGTCGGCAGGCCCTCAGCTCAGTCTCTGTCGGCCCCCACCCCCGCCCCAGCTGAGCCCAAGCCACACGGCGTTCCAGGGGCCCGGCCCGGGGATGATTGGGCCGCAGCCTCCAGAAGCCCCCATGGCCTGGGGGTGGGGGGGCAGCGCCGCACACAGACGCCAGGCCTGGGGCCCCACTCACCCCGTTCTGGCTGTTGCAGTGCCGGGTGCTGATGATGACCCCCGCCTCCTCGATCATCTTCAGGATGGTCCCTCCGTGCACGTTGCCGGCCACATTGGCGTCGTCGGGCCGCATGATCCTGGGCGGAGGGAAGAGGCAGGATGAGGCCTCTGGGAAGGACGTCCTCAGGAACAGTGACAACCGGGGAGAGGACAAGGTCCTCCAAAGGGCCCGCTGGCTCCCCGAGAAGGAAAAAGACCTTTCCCGTGTTTGGTCCGGGGGTGCTGTTTCCGCGGAGAGAGGAGGGCAGGGGGCCTGCCCCTGGAGCCCCGACCGGAAGGGGTGATGGTGGGACCTTTGAAAAGGCAGCGAGATGTTGGCACAGCTGCCCCTCCCGGTTCCCATCAACCAGCAGAGCTGAAGGAGCACAGGACACAGGCTGCGACCCCTCGGAGGAGAACAGACCCGGGGCCACCTCCAGGGGGAGTCCCCGAGGAGCAGCTCTGAGACGCGGGAATGCCCAGCCTGGCAGCCTGCAGGGGCGGACACTTCACCAGCTGCCCCGGTGCCACTGGCCGCCTCACTTCCCCGGGAGGAGGAGCCGCGCCCTGGCCGTGGCAGCCCAGGGAAGGGGGCTCCATGGAGTCTCTGAACCCAACAAGCCACTGCGGGCTCCTCCTGCGCAGGGACAGGCACTGAGCACGCGCCATGGTTCCCGCACGCCCAGCACCCACCCCAGGTCACCAGCCTGCTCGGCCCGCGGGCCAGCGTGGCCCCCACAGCACCCTCCGCCGCCTCCGGGGGGCCTGCTCCCCTCAGCAGCCCACGGCAGGCAGCCTGAGGGCGGTCCTGGCTCCAGCGCCAACGAGCTGGGTGCCCTGGCCAGCTGTCCCCACGCTCACCCCTCCTCTCCCGGGTCTGTAAACAGGCCCAACTGCCCTCTCCCCGCGGGAGGGCTGGGCTGACCACACGAGAGAATGCGATTGGCAGCGCCACGCAGCCTGCACACCACCAGAAACAGTGTCGACCTGCCCTCTCTCCTGAGTATTCAGCCAGCTTACTGCAGGGGCACCCGCATCCCGGGCGGCTGACAGCTGTGGGTCTCTGTCACCCAGGCCCAAACAAGTACCACAGCCCATTGAGGGGACCTGGCTTCTCGCCCCCCATCACTGGCGCAGGGGCAGCGGTGCCAGGGGAACCCCCAGAGCACAGGAAAGAAGCCTCACTCGGCCTCTCAAATGTTCACTTAAAAATATTTTGAACCCTGGATGGTGTTGCTCAGTAGTTAGAGTGTCAGCCTGCGGACTGAAGGGCCCCAGGTTCGGTTCCTGGTCAAGGGCATGTGCCTTGGGTTGCAGGTTCGTCTTCGGAACCAGTTGGGGCACGTGCAGGAGGCAACCCATCAATCAATATGTCTCTCTCACATCCATGTTTCTCTCTCCATTTCTTCCCCTCTCTCCCTTCCACTCTCAAAAAGTCAATGGAAATAATATCCTCTATTGAGGATGAACAATAACAACATAATAATAATAATTTTGAATCAATGGGTTAAAGACTTGAACGTGGGACCTGAAACCATAAAGCTCCTAGAAACCAGGCGGCAGGCTCCCTGACATGGGTCTCGGGGATGATGTTTTGGATTTGACACCAAGAAACAAAGACAGCAGAAGCAACGTGAGCAGGCGGACGGCATCAAGCGAAAAGGCTTTCAGCAAAATGAAAGGCAACCTAGAGTGGGAGGACGTACCTGCAAATCATGTATCTGAGAAGAGGTTAATATCCAAAATATATAAAGAATTTAAAACATCCCATTTAAAAACGGGCGGAGAAACTAAATAAACATTTTTCCAGAAAGCACATACAAATGGCCCACAAGTACAGCTCCACATCACTGAGCTTCAGGGAAACACAGATCCAAACCCAGAGAGACATTGCCGGGGCTCTTGTTCCAGCATCTAGAAGGTTCAGCAATCTGGAGAAAGGCTGTGTGTAACTTAATAAAGAGTCCAGTGACGAAATATAATTTTGAAAGGCATTGGGGGTCAGAGGAGCCTAGCTAAAGAAACTACGTTCTCCTCGGCTCAGGACCCCATGCTTTTTATTAACACAATTTGTCCTAAGGTGAGGCAGAGATACACTTCAAAGGGTCAGGGTTTCGTATACAGAGTCCATTGTCAGAATGGAAGAATTTGCCTACGGCTGTTCAGGTGTTTGGCCAGTAGGAGGCAATAACATGTAGATTAAGATGCCCTGAGCTGTCTGGCAGCAAACAACCAATTTAATGCATCCTTTTCAGGCTTGGGACATGCCCGCAGCCATTCCCAACGGGGATAACATGTGTGACTCAGCCCTTGTTGAGCCCCCAGGTTTCATCAACCTTTCGATGAAACTCTTGCAATTATGACGCTGGAACTGGCTTCCGGCAAGGCATCACCTCACCCTGTCAAATGGCTGTTATCAGAGACAAGAAACAAGTGAGGTGAGGATGCGGGGAGGGACCCTGTGCACTGCTGGCGGGGATGTAAATGGTGCAGCCGCCATACACAAGTGTGAAGGTCCCTCAAAAACCTGAAGCTAGAGCTGCCACATGCCCCACAATCCCACTTCTGGGTGCGTGTCTGAAGGAAATGAAATCTCTGACTCAGAGATACGGGCACCCCATGTTCACTGCAGCGATACTTAAACACGTGACAGCCTAAGTCTCCATCGCTGGATGCGTGGGTAACAAAGACGCGGTACACACACAATGGAACATTGCTCAGCCATGAAAGGAGACGCTGCCATTTGCCACCACATGGATGGGCCTTGAGGGCATGATGCCGAGTGAGATAAGTCAGACAGAGAAGACAGATACTGTATGATCTCACTTACATGTGAAATCTAAAAACTCAAAATCAAAGGTGCAGAGAAGAGATTGGTGGTTGGGGGGCGGGTGTGTGAAACGGGTGAAGCAGGCCCTCATCGACCAATGGGAGCTCAAGTGGGTAGAGCCTGATGGAGGCTGGATCTGTCCATCAACTCCCCGCGCACAGTTGTCGCAGTGATGCCAAGGGCAGGAGTGTCTCCGACAGATGTCTCCACCCATGATTAACCAGGTGTGCTCAAAGTCACTCTCTGCAAAGGAGGTCATGGCTCATTTCCGGTCAAGGGCACATGCCTGGGTTGCAGGCTTGACACCCAGTAGGGACCGTACAGAACGCAGTCAATCAATGACTCTCTCTCATCATTGATGTTTCTAGCTGTCTCTCCCTCTCCCTTCCTCTCTGAAATCAATCTATATATATAAAAGGCTAATATGCAAAGTGTCCCCTTGGGAGTTCGACCGGGAGACTGGGAGTTCGATCGCTTGCTCTGAAGTGCATTGACCACCAAGGGGTGGTGCAGTGTGAAGGAAGGCCCCGGCCGGCAGCCGGAAGGCCCTGATTGGCCCTGATTGCCGGCCAGGCCTAGGGACCCTACCCATGCATGAATTTCGCACACCGGGCCTCTAGTGTGTGTGTGTATATATATGTGTATATATATATATATTAAAAAGGACAGGCATATATTCCAATGGAACAGAACAGAGACCCTAGAAATTGACCCACACTATTACAGTCAATTAATATTTGATAAAGGAGGCAAGAACATACAATGAAGTAAAGACAGTCTCTTCAACAAATGGTGTTGGGAAAACTGGACAGACACATACAAAAAGATGAAAATAGACCACCAACTTCACAAGAATAAACTCAAAATGGATAAAAGAGGAGCATTTGATATATGTTGTCAGCTAGGTTCAAATAAACTCATAAAATTAAAAAAAGAAAAAGAATAAAAGACTTAAATGTAAGCCATGAAACCATCAAAATCCTTTTCTCAACAGAAACTTTGCAGGCCAGAAGGGAGTGGCAAGAAATATTCAAAGTGATGAATGCCAAGAACCTACAATCAAGATTACTTTATCCAGCAAAGCCATCATTCAGAATTGAAAGTCAGATAAAGAGCTTCACAGATAAGAAAAAGCTAAAGGAGTTCATCACCACCAAACCAGTATTATATGAAATGCTGAAAGGTATCCTTTAAGAAGAGGAAGAAGAAGAAAAAGGTAAAGATACAAATTATGAACAACAAATACACATCTATCAACAAGTGAATCTAAAAATCAAGTGAATAAATAATCTGATGAGCAGTATGAACTGGTGATTATAATAGAATCAGGGACATAGAAAGGGAATGGACTGACTATTCTCGGGGGGGAAAGGGGTGTGGGGGTGTGGGAAGAGATCAGACAATAATCATGCACCTATGGATGAGGACAGTGGGTGGGGAGTGAGGGCGGAGGGTGGGGTGGGAACTGGGTGGAGGGGAGTTATGGTGGGAAAAAAGAGGAACCAATGTAATAATTTGAACAATAAAGATTTAATAAAATAAAAAAATAATAATTATAAAAAAAAAGAAAAAAAAAGAAACCATAAAAATCCTAGAATAAAACAAAGGAGTAAAATCTCAGATATGTCACACAGCAGAATTTTTGCAGATACATCTCCTAGGGCAAGAGAAACACAGGAAAAAATAAACAAATGGGACTACATCAAAATAAAAGGCTTCTGAACAGCAAAAGTAACCACCATCCAAATGAAAAGGGAGCCCACAGTACGGGAGAACATATTTGCCAATGACAGACTGATAAGGGGTTAATTTCCAAAACATATAACGTAGTCGTGCAACTCAACAAAAGGAGGACAAATAGTCCAATTAAAAAATGGACAGAGGACCTGAAGAGACACTTCTTCAAAGAGGAAATACAAACGGCCAAGAGACATGAAAACAGGCTCAAAGTCACTAATCATCAGAGAAATACAAATTAAAACAACGAGATGTCACCTCACACCTGTCAGAATGTCTACCATCAACAAGTCAACAAGTGCTGGCGAGGATGGAGAAAGGGGAAGCCTCCTGCACTGCTGTGGGGATGCAGACCGGGGCAGCCACTGTGGAGAACAGTATGGAGTCTCCTCAAAAAATTAAAAATGGAACTTCCTTTTGACCCAGCAATCCCACTTCTGGAAATATATCCTAAAACCCCGAAACACCAATCAGTAGGATATATGCACCCCTATGTTCACAGCAGTGTTGTTTACAATAGCCAGGATCTGG